ACCGATTTCCCGGTGAAAATCGAAAAGGAGAAGCTTTGTCGGTTAGGATGCAGAAGTGGTTAGTGGGGGAAAGCTGGATTCTTTCACCGGACGATCAAGCCTTCTCTTTTATTCTTCTTCTTTCTTCTTTCGGAATATATATAACGATGCTCTCTGCTCACTATTTTTATATTATATCACATCTCATTGTTGTACAAACAAACAAAAACATCATTGTTGATGTGTTGTAATGTTAGAAGATATTTAATATTATTTTTCTAGATATTTTTATTACTAGTAGTTTTTATCTAAATGCTTTATGTGGAACCACATCACACATGATAATTTTTGATCAAATCTACTACTAATAAGAAATTAGAGTTAATGAAGTTTTCTTCTAAAACTAACAAAGTCGATGGGAGCCACTTGGGAGAGTTGTTGTTACACTCCAGTCTACTCACATGTTCATTGATTCGACCTAGCTTCCTTGCTCTTAGTGAGTTAAGAAATATATGGCCGATGAGTTTAGAAAATTATAATCCAATAGAGCCAATAAAAGTTCAAAACCAAAACTCAAGACCACGACGAACACTTTTAGCCGGTAACACACTGAAAAATGTTCACGTACATTGACAATCTCCAAAAAAACTCGATTCGTATTCTCTAGAGATTGAGCCCGAAATCTCATGTAAATACGCTAAAAAGAATCATTTGATACAACTCTACATGGTGTACTCTATTTTAACACACACAAAACACTAAAATGCAAAGAGAAATCCTGATCAATGAGAGAAACGTTTGAGCCGGAAATTAGAAGTTTTGGTCTTATATATGCTGAAAAAATCAGACAACCCCGCAGACCAAACATAAAATAAACGTTGCGGCTAATAAACACATAACCACATAACACAGTCTCGAGTCACAAATTCCGTTTGACAATCAAAAAGCCCATCATCATCGTCCACACAACACAAATTATCATATTATTATTCCATTCCTCCCCCAAACATCACCACACGCTCTCTCTCCGGCGATGCCTTCCTTATCCACGCCGCCCTCCCAAAATCTCGCCTTTTCCCCCGCAGCCTCTGCCACGTCATCCAGACTCACTCCCTCCAAAAGACCTTTTTACCCTCATCGTCTCCCCGATCCCACCGCTCTCTGCCGCTGCTCCTCCTCCTCCTCCGGCAGCAATTCGTCCTCTTCCTCGTCCTCCGATGATAACCCTAGATGGGACTCCGCGATTCAGGATGTCCTCAAGAGCGCCATCAAACGCTTCGATGCTGTCTTGAGCTGGTACACGACGACTCTGGATAACGATGCTGGAGAGAATGTCGAGAAGATTGATGATGATTGGGATTGGGACCGATGGAAGAAGCATTTCGAACAAGTCGATGACCAAGACCGTCTTCTCTCCGTCTTAAAGGTTCCTCTTGATGATTCTATTACTATATAGCTTCTCTGCGAATTTTAGAATTTGGGAAGATGTTTCTAATGCGGGAAATTTTGTATTTGGGGTGTACAGTCGCAATTGAATCGAGCCATTAAACGAGAAGACTATGAAGATGCTGCGAGGCTTAAGGTGGCAATCGCAGCTACTGCTACAAATGATGCTGTTGGCAAAGTCATGTCCACTTTTTATGTAATAACTCTTCCATGTAAACTGTTGCGGATACTTACATTTGATTCTGAAAGATTCCATTTTTTGCATTTGTGATAGAGAGCTGTTCTAGAAGAGCGTTACAAGGATGCAGTATACTTGCGAGACAAAGCTGGTGCTGGGTTGGTGAGCTCATTATTTGTTTCTTTTATAACTGTGGTTTAGCTCCTTATAGGGGTTACATCGTCTTCTCTATATGGATTGCAGGTAGGGTGGTGGTCTGGTATTTCACAAGATGTCAAAGATCCTTTTGGTCTTATTGTTCAAATTACTGCAGAGCATGGAAGATATGTGGCAAGAAGTTATAATCCTCGGTACTTCTATCTTCTTTGCTCTTCAATTTATCTGTGGCTGTGTGGGTTTTTTGTGTATCAAACGCCAAATTTCTCCAGGTCATTTGTTGGTTTGAAAGATTGTGTTATATGACAACCCTTTCTCTCTCAGGCAACTTAGTACATCTGCTGCTGGTGCTCCTCTTTTTGAAATCTTTCTGACACTTGATGGAAAAGGGAACTACAAAAAGCAGGTTTTTTTCTTCCTTAATCCTACGTAGTTAGTGTCCAATTTGAGTGATTGGGGTATTCATTGGAGAATTATGTTCCGGTTTATTCAATGAATTTGGGGGTTTGCTTCATTTGGTTCTTTATAGGAAGCTGGCCTTTTTGAGTAGATAGCAAAGTGTGAGTTCTCTACGTTATCTCAACACGAATGTGTCTAGAATATCTAGGTGGAGAATATATTGCGATGTTAAATTGGGATGTGTGTTTCTTCAGGCTGTGTACTTAAAATGGAAGGAGATTTTCCCAGACGTACCAACTATGCCCTCCAGAACTTTGACTTCTGGTAGGTTTTTGACTTCACCTGGAAGGAAGGAAGATACGGGTAATCTTACTGTTGAGAGTAGTGAAGATGAAGAGAGCGATAACTCAGATGATGATTCTGATCTTCTTGAGGAATCTTATGGTTTCCAGAGTTTCCTGCGAGATATGATTCCTGGGGTCAAGGTTAAGGTTATGAAAGTAACTGCGCCTGGAAGGGTGGACAAGGATTTCATCTCAAAAGTTATTGAGCAGATAGCTGATGAAGAAGATGAAGAGAACGATCTTGATATAGAAGATATAGATGTGGAAGATGAAACTAAGGCTGAAATCGATGAAAAAAATACTCACATTGAATTGGAATCTGTGACGGATGAAATCATTGACAACAACGGAGGAAGAGAAATCGCAGTGAAATTTGTGATAGGCGATATTGTTGATCGGCTTTCTGGAAACCAACCTATTAAAGAGTCACTTCGATCCCCTGCCAATCTGGAATCTGTGGAGAATTCTTCGTTTTATCTTCGGTTAGAGAAAGATTTAAACGTAAAAGAGTCTAAGGGTGTAGAAGGTACACTAGTTGATGGAAAAGGTAGCCGCCAAAGTAGACGCAGGATTGATAACATTATGGTTGATTTGGCCAAATCAATTGAGAAAGAGAAGAAGATTTCTGTCAAGGTTTGTTCTGCTGTGTTTATTTTCTAGTTTTCTTCTTGTTTTACTGCAAAAAGGGAGTCGCTTATTCTAGAAATTAACGTTGCAGATGCTTAAGGATGTTGGGGAGCTATTAAGCCTCACTCTCAGCCAGGCTCAAAACCGTCAACAGTTGTCGGGTTTGACGAAATTTCGTCGCATTGATGTGACTCCATCGCTAGATCCTCTAGACGGTGAGTGAGTAAATTGATTGAATGTGGGGTTGTTTTGTGTCTCTCTGAAGAACATGGAAATTGGCATTGATGGCTCCTTAGGTATTGTAATTTTATCAGTATTGCTTGCTCAGCTGTTAGAAGTTATTTTTTTGGATGTGACAAGTGAGTCTTTTCGATAGAATACTTTAAATTTTGTAACACTTACCTGGAAATACCATTTTTCTCACATCAGCTCTCAGCAGGATTTTAATTTCCTTTGTACTTATCTATCCAGGACTTTATATTGGCGCACATGGGCTGTATACATCAGAAGTAATCCATTTAAAACGCAAGTTTGGCCAGTGGAAAGGTGGAAAGGAGTCTAAGAAGCCAACAGATATTGAATTTTATGAATATGTTGAAGCTGTGAAATTAACTGGAGATCCTTATGTGCCTGCTGGGAAGGTTAGCTTTATGTTTGTTCTAGTATGAGGTATTAAGACAAATATGAAAACATGTAGTTTTTATGGTCAGTGTTAAGAACTTCCTTAATCAAAGGACTGTGTTACCAATCTGGTTAAAAAAACACGCTGTTACCTTTCTGACTACACATGAAAGGAGTATTATCATCCAATAGTCACTTGGATGTATAAATGCACACTTGCCTTGCTTATTTTCGATATCCTTCTTTTTTTAGTTCTTATTCCGTAATACTCTTTATTGCAATATCATGATGTGTGCCTTACCACAGTCTTACCCATGACAGGTTGCATTTCGGGCAAAGATTGGTAGACGTTATGAGCTCCCACATAAAGGACTCATCCCCGAAGAATTTGGAGTGGTGTGCTTACAACACTAGTCAAATTTATCATTTAAGCTCTGTTTTCTTATTGGAAATGTTCTAGTTTGTGTAACTTCATGATAGAGTTATTCTTAAAAAATGCAGATTGCCAGATATAAAGGACAAGGTAGGCTTGCTGATCCTGGATTTCGTAATCCGAGATGGGTAGATGGCGAGCTTGTTATCCTCGATGGCAAGGTTCCTCTCTTCGTCTCTCACTAATGACTAAACTAAAACAAACTTGTCCATGATTCAAACTTAAATGTTTTGTGTGATGTGTTTGTTGAATTATGGTTTTGATACAGTATGTAAAAGGAGGACCGGTTGTTGGATTCGTGTATTGGGCACCTGAATATCACTTTGTGATGTTCTTCAACCGCCTGAGGCTTCAAGACTAGTTTTCTTGTATTCTGCTCTACAATCGACGAAGGGTTTTCTTCTGGCTGTAACCATTGTGTAAGTATACTCCTAGATACACAGTAGATATGAAGTCGGTATTGAGAAAGGTATAACTGAAATGGTTTCATTATTTGCAGATTCATGGGATCGGTTATGCCTAAGATAAGAGGGGTTCACTCTTGTCTTTCTGGACACCAGTATAGAGCGCCTCGGTCTCTCTTTTTCTTCTGGAGCTTTGATAAAGGTACCTAAATTGCGGGAAGATTTAACACGCCAGAGGGTCTTTGATCAGAAAGGAAACTTAGATTGTAGAGCTTGACAAGTTTATAGATATATATATATATATATATATATATATGTAAATTAATGTATGTTTCTCCAGAGATTGCTGCTATTTTGGATATAAACAGTTGTTATTATATATCCTTTGTGTATTTCAGTTTATATGGCAGAAGAAGAGAAGAAATACTTCTTGTTAATGTCTCTTGGTTACTACATGTAACAAATAACAGAAAAATAGCTTAAGCGATGTGATCATGCCAATAGAGAAGCAAAGAAATCATTGATTTTCAGGTTTATCATTTCATTACACTCAATAGTATAAAGATTTTAAAGCAGAAATGGGAACTTAGGAGGAGGCGACAGCAGCAGCTTGCGGTGGCGGTGGGGGTGGTCGGAGAGTGATCTCAACCTTGTCGTGAACGCCTTGAAGCAAGAGTTCACCTTGGAATGCGACTATTTTGCGTTTCTTGGCGGCTCTCAGAGTCCCAACCAATGCTTCAAAGATGTTGGCACATCGATCGTCATTGAACAACACTCCAAACGTCACCTGGAACCAAAAGGAACAAACATGATTTTATCAATCAACCATTCTTTTTAGATCTGAGGGAGAAAAAAGAGTAAATGTGACGATCTTGATTCTTGAGATGAAAGTAAATGGATTGGAACTGAAATATACAGATTCCAGATCCAACAAGATTTTTGAGAGAGAAAAGAAGAGAAGAGAGACCTTGTAAGAGCCATCGGTCTGGAGAGAACCAAGACGATGGATCTCTTCTTCCAGTTTCTGAATCTCTTCTTCTACGTTCATTCTTTCTTCTTCTTCTTCCTCCTCAGAGAATTCAGGTCTCAACAGCGTAATCAATGTATAAGATTGGATTCTGAAGAAGAGACTCTTTCTGATGATGAAGACAGCTAGCTCGATGACAGATCCTCCCAAATTCTTGTCCCTCCTAATCCGGTTGAATAGGAAGGCGCACACTTAACCGGTTTTAGACCTTATCAACAACATTGAACTAACACACACGTCCGGTTTGAAACTTTAATGATGATAGGACATTAGCCGGTTTACCACGATTTTAACATTCGATTTTTCTAATTTCTTTTCTTTTTAGTTTATTCATACAAAAAAATAACAGATGACATATCGAAAGGTTGCGTTTGAGTTAACAATGAATATTTAAAGACAGAACATAACTTCAGTTCTTCACTAAAATTGTAAAACTACAGATTTTTTCTTATAAACATGATGAATATGTAAACTCATTTGGTTAATGAAAACACATGCTAATGTTAGAAAGAAAAAAAAAAAAAAAACTAATGTAATTAGGTAATTTATTTGAATTAATTTTTAGGCTGTGATTAAAGTTCACTTTTAGTCGAACCCGTTTGAAATTAATTAAAGCAATTTTTATTTTTATTAAAAAAAAAAAAGTTCACTTTCTTCTTCACGTTTTAAAACTCCTCTACAAGTAAAAAAAGTATTTTAGCGGCGACACAAATAAAAGGGATCCTTTGTCTCTCTCTCGATAGATAGAGTTAAGCACGAAAAATCGAGGATTTGACCTTCTCTTCTCTTCTCTTCTCTTCTCTTCCCAGTGTGTCTTCTCTTCTCCACGAACTCAATTTGCCAAATCTCTAGCCCCTTTCATTGATTCAAATCCGATCCATCGATGACTATTGAAGAAGTTTCCGGCGAGACTCCTCCGTCTACGCCTCCTTCTTCTACGCCACCTCCGTCTTCTTCCACCGCCAACGCCGCGCCCTTGGGATCCTCCGTGATTCCGATTGTAAATAAGCTACAGGACATATTCGCTCAGCTCGGAAGCCAGTCTTCGATCGCGCTTCCTCAGGTAGCTGTTGTTGGAAGCCAGAGCAGTGGCAAGTCTAGCGTCCTTGAAGCACTCGTCGGCCGTGACTTTCTCCCTCGTGGGAATGATATCTGCACGCGTCGTCCTCTCGTTCTCCAGCTCGTCCAGACTAAAAGCCGCTCTAATGGCGGATCCGATGATGAGTGGGGGGAGTTTCTTCACCTTCCTCCAGACACTCGTTTCTATGATTTCTCTGAGATTCGTCGAGAAATTGAGGTTCTTCTTGCTTTTTTTTTAATACCCTTTTGGTCAATCTGTCTTTCAAGTTTGTTCCTTTTCTAGTATCTTGGTTTGACGCATTGCCTTTGTTGCTATTAATGTATGAAATGCAACATCTTTGTAGGCTGAGACGAATAGATTAGCAGGAGAGAACAAAGGTGTAGCAGATAAACAGATTCGTCTTAAAATTTCTTCACCTAATGTATTGGATATCACGCTTGTGGATCTCCCTGGTATTACCAAGGTGCCAGTTGGTGACCAGCCAACCGACATTGAAGCGCGTATAAGAACGATGATCTTGTCTTACATCAAGTCAGCTACTTGTTTGATATTGGCTGTGACCCCTGCAAATACCGATTTAGCAAACTCTGATGCCCTTCAAATTGCTAGCATTGTAGATCCTGATGGTAAGTTCTGCTAACAAGTCCTATGACAAGAAAAAAAATTGATTATTTAATGGCTTGTATTTGACATTACTCATCTTCGCCCTTTCATGTATCTATACTGTCTCCAGGTCACAGAACGATAGGTGTAATCACAAAGGTGCATATTCCCAGTCCAGACATTTGGTTTATATCATTGTTTTTTAGCCGAAAAGATAGGCGTCCCTGTCTTTCATGTGTTTTACTATTTTTTTTTTATCATGTTTTCAGTTGGATATTATGGACAGAGGTACTGATGCTCGAAAGCTCCTACTTGGAAATGTTGTTCCTCTTCGACTTGGATACGTGGGAGTTGTAAATCGTTGCCAGGAGGTAAACCCGTGGTTGCTCCAACTACTACTTTTTTAAAATTTGTTTTGCATAGTGTGGCTCTTCTTTTATGTGACTTGAGCTAACTTGCTTCTGTTCTGTGCTTATTTTTCGATGCTATGGTTATATATTTTTTTTTTGCCTACTTTTTGTGGCGTCTGCATCTACAGTGTTATGATCTTTTTATTTTATAAACAGGATATTTTGCTAAACCGCACAGTCAAGGAAGCACTTGTCGCAGAGGAGAAATTCTTCCGTAGTCGTCCTGTATGATAGCATCAATTTGTTGATTCACTTTCTGATACTCTTTTTATTTTTCCTGATTAAAGCTGCTTTTTTTGGTACCTATACAGGCTTACCATGGTCTTACCGATCGTTTGGGTATCCCTCAGCTAGCAAAGAAGTTAAATCAGGTATTTTCTCTAGTTTTGGGAGTTCTTTTTTCCTTTATGTCTATCATAGTTCAGGAAGGCATAAGGGAGACGCTTTCTCTATTTTGAAATATCTAATTGGGATGATACTGGACTTTATTTGCAATATTCACTTTTAAGGTTATTTACATGGCTTGTGCGGATTCTACCCTAGCCTGAAAAAGGACCTTTACAGGTCTTTTTTTTTGGCCCTCACATGTATATCTTTTGTTGTTTTTTGATTAGTATATTTTCCTTTCTTACTTCTAATAGATGGCATGTCGTAGATTTCATACCTGGCACTGCTACTTTTATATTAGAACATGTCTGATAGAAGATCGCCTTTCTGTTACATTCTTTTAGATCCTTGTTCAACATATCAAGGTCCTGCTTCCGGATTTGAAGTCGCGGATAAGTAATGCTTTGGTTGCTACAGCAAAGGAGCATCAGAGCTATGGTGAAATAACAGAATCAAGGGTATGTATTTTACTGCCCAATTTGCGACCTATATATCGAATTCATTGTTCTGTTATTGGCTTTGGTACCCTACCATTTGTTCCATTTTATGGTGTGGTGTGTTCAGTCTTTTCATTTGAATACAATTTTGCTCGTCTACTCTATTTGTCATGTATGTTCTCAGGGTTCATGACATTCATAAAGCCTTTTAATTTTTAGACTACAAAAAGAAATTTTTTAAAGTCGTAGAATTAGCATTTGAAGGTGTTCTTATTTTTCGGGAAAGATTGTTGGCCAATGGGTACTTTTTCTTTTCTTTTCTTTTTTTTTTTACATCCTGACAATGGGTACTTAACTTGTTTAAAGTATTTACATTTGAACAGACTTTCTTAAAAAAAAATTCTTTATGACTTGCTTCATCTCTATGAGTTGTTGTTTTTTTCTCAATCTTTAACTAGTCAAACTTATCCTATTCTGTGGGTCTTTACTGTCCTTGAAATTCTTAGGCTGGTCAAGGAGCTCTTCTCCTCAACTTTCTCTCTAAATACTGTGAAGGTAATTTCTGAAGCCGATATTTCAGTTGAGACCATGGATATTTGTATTATGTTTTTTTATGGTTCATAGTGAGTCTCATGGCTAACTTTTTTTAAACAGCATACTCTTCATTGCTGGACGGGAAAAGTGAAGAAATGTCTACGTCCGAGCTCTCTGGAGGAGCAAGAATTCATTATATTTTCCAGTCAATCTTTGTTAAGAGTTTGGAGGTTCGTTTGGACATCTTTAAAATTTTTTCCTTGAGCTTGAGCAGCTGTTATAATTCCCCGTTTCTTAACTAGCCAATGTTTTCCTGTACTTTTGTTGATACACTTATGATCTTCGATGGTTAACGTTCATTTCATTGACATTGATAGAGAGCTTCTACACGTGTGAATGGCATTTTCTATAAACTTTTACTGCTTTGTTAAGTGTTGGCTCTGCTATATTATCTTAGTTTAGCTAGTGACATTATCCACATGGAAGTAATGTAGTATATTTCTGACGTTGAGCTCTTTGGGGCATGGCGTTTTTCCTACTTAATGCTTTCTAGAGCTGACTTGTTCCCAGTTTGTAAAACGTTGAGTCCCTACAATGTTCAATTGTCATTTTGAGTATCTGAACTGTTATTACTGGATCGGTTCCTTGTCTGCTAGATAGTGATTTTTTTCCTTACTTAATCTACATGAAGTGTATTCCTGTAAATTTAGACTGATTGACTTCCTTCACATTACCTCTTCAGGAGGTTGATCCATGCGAAGACTTGACAGATGATGATATTCGGACTGCAATTCAGAATGCAACTGGTCCAAGATCCGCATTATTTGTTCCAGATGTAGGTTTCTTAACATGTTTCAGCATGTATGGAAGTCATCCTGGTTGTCAGGACTTTCAAGCATACATATGTTTCCTGACCTTATCTACTTTCCAGGATATCTAATTACAGTCTCTTGATTTCATTCTATTATGCATAGGTTCCATTTGAAGTTCTTGTTAGGAGGCAGATATCTCGTTTGTTAGATCCTAGCCTTCAGTGTGCTAGGTTCATTTTTGATGAGCTAATAAAGGTGAGTGTTTTTTGTTTTGGTTTGTTGTTGATAAATGATAAGATTAATTTCATTATTTTCATGAATTTGAATTTCTCTACAGATTAGCCATAGATGTATGATGAATGAGTTACAACGATTCCCAGTCCTGCGAAAGCGCATGGATGAGGTTATCGGGGATTTCCTGCGAGAAGGTCTTGAACCCTCAGAAGCAATGATCGGGGATATCATTGATATGGAGGTCTGTATAATGAATTGAAAATCCTTACGATCATTGATTTCATTTACCCTAAGAGTAATTTTTCAGTTGAGTTTCTCTATTGTGTACAAGGAGCCTAAACTGATATTTTCTCATGTTGGTTGATTAGGAACCTTTTTTAATCTTGAGAAGTGATTCCTCATTTTTGATTGAATAGTTTCTTTTAATTGTGAACTAAATTACTAGTACTGGTGATCATGGTTGCTTCAATGGTGGTGTTAATTTCTTGAATGTCGTTTGCAGATGGATTACATAAACACTTCTCATCCAAATTTTATTGGTGGAACCAAGGCCGTGGAAGTTGCAATGCAACAAGTGAAGTCTTCGAGGATTCCCCATCCTGTGGCACGACCAAAGGTATGAAGTACTCAGAGCAAATACATGAAAATTGGTTTTGTTTCTTATATGCTCTGCAGTGTTTCTTATACATTTAAGTTGATATAGCAGGACACCGTGGAGCCTGATAGAACATCTTCTTCCGCGAGTCAGGTGAAACCTAGAACTTTTCTCGGCAGGCAAGCTAATGGAATTGTTACTGATCAGGTATTGTCATTTTACATGTTATATAATTAATTCTGTATATCATCGTGCACTGTGGGTTAGCCCTAAAGACCCATGTGCAAAATAGACATTTCCAAGTAAAAGAGCGACTATTTGACACTTATCTCATGACTTGTTCCTAGGGAGTTGTATCTGCAGATGCTGAAAAAGCTGCACCAGCTGGTAATATTCTCATTGCTGTCATTTCCGGCCATCCATTTCGTGTTTTGGAAGATTTTTGGCTGTGTGATGAATCTCTTGTTATGTCTCAGAGACTACTTGAACACATCTCTTGTCTCGATTTGCTAATAGCTTATAATTCTGGGTAGATTTTAATTGTGGTTTTACTGATTCATGATAGCAAATGCGAATGATACAAGATGGGGTATCCCTTCAATTTTCCGAGGGGGTGATACTCGAGCAGTTACTAAAGATAGCTTATTAAACAAACCATTCAGTGAAGCTGTTGAGGATATGTCTCACAACTTATCGATGATCTATCTAAAGGAGGTATGTCTTGTACTGTCTTAGATGATTCATATTGCCAATACATGCTTACCTATTTGACTCATACGGTTTTCTTTACTTTTCTGAAGCCCCCAGCTGTCTTGAGGCCATCCGAAACCCATTCAGAACAGGAAGCAGTTGAGATTCAGATAACAAAGCTGTTACTAAAATCATACTATGACATTGTAAGGAAGAATATTGAGGACTCGGTACCAAAAGCAATCATGCATTTCCTGGCAAGTACCCTATATCTTCCCCAAGTTTCTTGCAGTATCTCAAATTCGTACAATATATCAGCACCTTGATATCTGATTTTTTTTTTTTTAATTCTCTCTTTGAAAGAGTTAAAATGATAAGCTGGTTGTCCATATTGTGCGAAATAACATTGTTGCTATCATAAAGTAAACGAAATCTGAAGATGCGGATACCATTTCTTTATAATGCTTCAGGTAAACCACACGAAACGTGAGCTGCATAACGTCTTCATCAAGAAGCTTTACAGGTGATGCTTGCGCTTTTTTTATTCCTCACACCTGTGTTTGGATTAGTAATCTCTTATAACTGACTGGTGGTTTAATCTGGTGCAGGGAGAACTTGTTTGAAGAAATGTTGCAAGAGCCAGATGAGATAGCAGTTAAGAGGAAACGAACGCAGGAGACTCTTCACGTTCTTCAGCAAGCTTACAGGGTATGTTCTCTGACAAACCTAACTCTGTGCATACAAGTGTCACTTCGAATTGTTTCTCTCAAGAAATTGCTGTTTGATGTTCACATAACCATATGGTTTTTTTTTTTTGTGGGTTTAACAGACACTAGATGAGCTGCCACTGGAAGCAGATTCGGTGTCAGCAGGAATGTCAAAACATCAGGAGTTACTGACATCCTCAAAGTATTCCACAAGCAGCTCATACTCAGCATCACCAAGTACAACAAGAAGATCAAGAAGAGGAGGAGATCAACACCAAAATGGATACGGATTCTAACATGATCCAAATATCTCGAATATCTCTTGACTGTGATAACGCATTTCATTCATTTAATGGCTCTTTCAGGTTTTGGTATTAAATTATGTGTTGGTCAAATGAAGAATTTATATAGGAAACCGGTACACAGTGTGGGTTTTGGTCCTTTTGGACTCTGCATTGGTTGACTGATAAGGGAGTGAAAGGTGATATAGTGTTTCCAGTTTGTTTCAAATGCTCCCCCCCCCCTGCAACAATAACGGGAAGCAAACTCTTTTCACTCTTATTTTTTTGGGAATGGTTTAATCAATAAGTTATATTACATGATCGGTCCACACGACCTTATAAATTCTGTAGTCGTCTCTTTCTTTTTAAGCAACGAGACCTGGAACATTCTCCTATGATGTCTATATTAGTCATAGATTATGCTGGAACTTGACGATGTGGTTAAGAGTTTAATATAACGTATGATTTAACTTTGTTTGGATCAGCGTATTCACAAAATCCGAACCCACTTTAGTCCTTTCTGTATTATAAGTTTCGGACCAAAATACGATTTCTTGTCTTGTCCCTATCACTGGGTAAGAGCCAAGACACGATAATGCTTACTCTTCGGTTCAGAAGTGGACACGTCATTCTCCATTTTTCCCTATTTGAATAAAAGCATATCCACCTACTGCCACGTATCGAGAGCACCTTTACTTTTGTAATTTCAACATTTCCATCACAACACTTTTTTTTTTTTTTTTTTTTTTTGACATTTTCATTTTGTCTACAACTAATCAGAAATCAGAATAAATTCTCTTGTTAATTCTTGAGCTGCAGAAATTTGTGATACACATATAAAAGACAACCATAAGCCTAATAGTAGTCACATGAAACTACAACAATTATTTTTGTTAATTTTTCTTCTTAATTAACAACAATTATTACATAAACCTCATAACCATAATGAATTAATAGACATAGGAGTGATTTTAATTTCTTAAAACTTAATCAATGCATATAATGGTCGGGTCGCAGCAACATTCATCCACCAAGCAGCAACAACACAGAGCCGCTAATCTGCAAACCAAAACACACATTACTATCAACAAATATTGTTTATAAATTCCAAAAGATTTCTAAAGTGCAAATTTATCTGATTTTTTTTTTCCCGCAAAGTCCATCAGTTAACTCATATTAGAAACAAACTAATATGTATTATGAAACATAAAAACAGAGCACTTACAGTCCTTCAAGAAAACCAACTTTTCGTTGTGGTGGTGGAGGCGGCGGTGGCGGTGGTGGAGGGTAATACTGTGGCGGTACTCCCACAGGCGGTGGCGGACCTTGCGGGTAATTTCCCGGTGCCGGGTATGGATATGCATACTTCGGATCGCTCATATTTTGGCCAGAGAATTTAAGCAAAAAAAAAAAGATTCAACACTATAGTTTTTGAATAGAAAATCTTATATATTTTGGAGAGGAAATAATAGTAAAGAGAGAGAACACGGATTTGCAATCTTTAGTGCAAGTGTTGTCCTTGTCGACGTGTATTTATATTTGCCAAAGAACACAGGTAATTCTTCTATTAAAATAAAAATGTCTGTTTCGGAAAGAATTTTCACAATTTGTGGAGCTTTTGAGAATAATCTTGAAAGTAAATTGAAAAAAACAAAACACGTAAAAGTGAAATACGGTAGGGATTGTCAAAATTAAAGGAATCTGCTTCGGTAGAAGATTCGAGAGAGGAGAGGAAGCATCCGTGGTGATGCAAAGTGGTTTGCTTTTGGTTTTGGAGTTTCTTTTTCTTCTCTTCTTTCCAAAGTTTTGTCAGTCGCCAAGATTCCTTAAAACTTGTTCACACATCATAATTATGAACCAATAGGTTGTAAATAATAATCCAAGTTATTCAAATATTCTCACCAATAATTTTTAAAAATGTTATATATAATTGGCTTTAATTAATTAATATAGGACCCATCAATTTTGTAGGGATTGAAAAATTACATTGAAAGTAATTAATAATATAGGTCCTAGATTAACGTTACACAGTGAGGAGAGAAGACGGAAGGGGAAAATAAAAATTAAAACAATTTATTGATAGGGTGATTCGAACATGGGTACTCTCTGAGGAGAAAACAGCCATCTAACCACCAGACTACGCCAATTTTACAGTAATTACTAGTAAACAGGATTTATATATTTGTTTCAACATGTGTTGTTAAAACTTAACGGCAGTTAATGACTCCGTAACGGCCGTTAACGGCTGTTAAATCACGGGGTCGAATCCACCAACCATTTAAACATTAGGTAGTTTTAGACAACATATATTTAAATGAGGTATTTTTATTCTAATAAAAAAGAATTGGGTATTAAACGTCCAAATAAAATTTACTTTGGGTTTTTTTTGGGAATTTTCCCTATATAAAATTGGTTTTTTAAAAAAAAAATAATATGGGACCCATGAATACTACAAACATCAATCTACATGCCACAATAAAATAAAAAAAAAAACGAAAAAATCAAGGGCCATTTAGGTGAGTGACCAATTTTATAAATAATATTAAGAATATAGCACCTTATTTGAAAAAATTAGGAGACTAACATAAGGGGTGGGGGAAATTACCATTTTGGTGTTTCTTTCTCTTTTTATTTTTGTTACCCCATCATATTTTGTTGGAGCATATATTTTTTATATTGAAGATTCAAAATTTCAAATTTATCTCATAAAAATGTAGATTTTTTTCTACATAAAACATGGTTTGAATTTTACAAATCGGATGTAAAATTTTTCTAATGGTGAATAGTGGTTGTAGTTAAATACAAATTGTACTATATGAATAGAATGGTCTACTATACTATTTTCTACAAATCTATATAAATAAACCCTTAACTTTAAAATAATAAACCTATTGACTTACACTCAAACCAAAAACACATGTATAGAAATGAATGCTATACCCTAATAAATACAACATAAAGAACACAAAATGCTGAATTAACCGCACGATGAATAAGGAACACTATACCCTAAGGGATACAACATAAGGAACCCAAACGACCAAATTAAATACACAACAACAAAAAATGTTATAGCCTAAACAATACAACATAATAGCCCAATTTGCCGAGTTAAACAAATGCCAAATAAAGGATATTATAGCTAAAATATAACTGAAAAATTTATAGTTAAAATGCATATAGTTTTTTTTTTAAAACGCATATAGTTATTATATCGATTTTTAAAATTTTAGATCATATAAATACATAAAAAATCTAGTTCTTTCTAAAAATCATGAATTTAAATTAATATTTATAAACATAAATTTTAGGTAAAATTTACAAAATATAAAAGAAAACAATTTTAAAATTAAATAAATAGAATTTCTTTTCCATTAACTTACTATACTATTCTATTTAAACAAATCTATTGAAACACTCTTTCACTTGGGCCAATTACAATCTTATTACAAAACACTCAAGCCCAACTTCTTCTTGTTGACTTATGCTCTTCTCCTCTAGTGTCGTTGACCCTTCTTCTCCGTCAATTTCAGCTTCTCCGACGCGTCGTCTTCTTTTCTTCATCTTCTTCTTCTCATTGAGGCTTTCTTCTTGTTTCAGGTTTAATCAAAGATTCAGCTCTAACAATTTGTAACCCTAGCTTCTTAAATTATAGAAAAAATTTGGATGAACAAAGAGTTAGGGTTTTGGAGTCAATCGACCTTCCGTAACCGGAATTAGAAGTTCGCCGTCGCCAGATTAGCGGTTGGTCTGACGTCTACGACCTTCAATTTTCAAATCTGAGCTCTGTTCACCATGGGAATTATCTGGTTTTCTTCGTGTGTGGTTTTTGTTCAACGGAGACGATGAGAAGGAAAAAAGAAAGAAAGGTCGAGGGGCTGTCTGATATATCGATTTTGATTTTGATTTTGCTTTTGCTTTCTCTTCTTTTTTTTTTTGCCTTTTATCGTTTTGTTGAGGGGAATTGCAGGCTATAGAACAAGAAGAGATTGTAAAAGAAAAGAAGTTTTTATCAAAAGAGAAAAAGTATGCATCTGTGTATCATGAAACAAGGGTAAAATAGTCAATAATACATAAAATACAATGAATATCATAGATTGATGGTTACTATGGTTACTCCCTTAATTATTTTTATTTTTTTGGTTATAGCCTGCAATTCCCCAAAAATCAATTTTTCATGAGAGAAAGGGTAATTATCAGGAATTTAATTGAGGACGGTTGTTATGAACTTATGATGATCATTCACAATTATCTATGATCTCGAGATTTTGGTTATAGCCTGCACTGACCTTTCGGATAAGGTTTTTTTTTTTTTTTTTAACTTGGTTCTCACTTCTCATATGCATTTACAATTATATAAGATGAAGTTTGGGTGTTGCATGCAGCTTTCTGCGTTGGTCCCAACTCCCAAGTCCACGATAATAGAGAGTTTCTGCCCTTCACGGTATCGTCGTCGTCGCAAGTTCTCTTTATCTTATCATAGCATTGGCACAAGTTAGCCACCGTCTTAGCGCAAGTTAGCCATGTTGTCCTACGTGTCATGAACTGATTGGTCAAATTTGGATATATTTGTTTCCGTCGGTTATATATGGATAAAATATTTGGTAGGAAACAACCGAAATTTCTGGTTCAGCCTTCCTTGGTCCCAAAGAAATACGCACACCTACTCCCTTCATTCTTTATCCTCTCCACTTATATTAATACAAATCTTATGGAATCTCTCCAATTTGCACTCAAAACCTCACAATTTCTTCGAATCAACAGGATTTAGATCTATCAATGGCCTCATCAACTGCGATGTTCATGCTCCCTTACCCTCTAATTCAGCAGATAACAACAACAAACAATACTCTTCAGCCACAACACGAACCGTCATCGCCAATAGTTAAATGTCTTCTTCCTGCAAGAAACTCATCGGAAAGTTCTGATCGCTCGAAGTTTAGTCTTTGGCTATTTGGCGATCCCGCTACCTACGACAAGAGGTTCCAAGAAGCTATTGAACTTAGTTGCTGGTGATTGAGATTTTCCGTTGTAGTCGTTTTTTTTTTTGTGTTTTCAGTGGACATATTGTAATTTCTTCAAAAGTCTTACCATCTGCTGTTATTTATATAATAATGAATTCGATCAAAGATGTTCAGATTAATTTTGATATCTAAGAAATTTTATTAATCATACCAACCAAACTTACACTCTTATATATTAACACAATGACACAACGAATACCGAAACATTACAAGAAGCAAGAAAAGAGTTTACCAGGAACACAAAGAGCTTTTTTAGTTCTGATGGATTCCACTTGGCCATGTCAGATTCTTTACAGGCCCGAGAATAGCTTCAACCTCAGACATAGTTTCTTGATCCATCCCCAGACTTTCAAGATCTGTAACTGCTGCAACATTTTCTTCTACCTGATTCAGAAACACACACAAATTGTTTCATATTTAACTCCAGTTTCCCACATAATTATGGGACCTGAGAGGGAACCCCGAAACTTGAATACCTGTGAGACAGAGCTCATCCCAACCAACACCGATGAAATCTCCTTGTTTGCTAAACTGTATTGCAGAGCTAACTTTGTGATCTTCTTACCCTTTGATTTGCAGTGAGTAACTGCGGCTTTGCATGCAGACTACATAAGGCAATTAAAGCAGCAACAGGTTATGACTTTCATATATAAGAACAATTTGTTAAGAAATCAGTATCTTCGTTTATTTCTCACTGAATCAAAATATCAAACAGTGAACAAACCAAAACTAACTCAGGAGCATCCCCTACTCTTCCAAACATCAAGTCAACCAAATACAAGCCTTCATGTGAATCTGTTCAATTTTCTACTTAAAAAAACTCATCAAAGACCAACTAACATGTTAATACCCATTGGGGACTCTCTGAACTGACTCTAATCTTGTCTATGAAGACTTATCACAATGATAGTCTGAGTTAAGAAACAGAGGATTGTAATCAGTCTCACAAGTATAGCACCTAAGCCTATAGAATATAACCTGCCTATGCTAGAGAGAATGCTGCATGCAATGGCGTTTTAACACTGGTATCTTATGCGGGATGTTTCAATACAAGTGCTATAGAAATGTTTATAAGAATCACATTCTTATCTAAATGTCAAACCTTGAGCTCACGGGAAGCAGGGTGCCATTCAGGAGGACCTTGTTCTGTAAGGAGGCCCATTGCCAATGGGGAAGCACTTATCACACCCACACCTTTGCTCTTCAAGTAAGGTAGTAAATCCAGCAACGTTGAATCATTAACGCCGTAATGACAGTATGACAATATCACATCAACTGTCCCTGGAGGCACTCTATCAAGAACATAAGTGAAAATATCTAACGGAAGACCAGTGATACCAATGAACCTGGTCTTCCCCTCCTGTTTCAGTTTCTGAAGAGCAGGAATTGTTTCACTCACAATCTGGCATCAATGAAAGAACACTTAGTAAAGATTGAGACACAGACAGTGGAAACGTGATAAACCAAAAGAGAGAAAGTAGTAAACCTGATCAAGAGACCCGAACTCAATGTCATGACAATGAAGAATGTCAACATAATCAAGCTGAAGCCTCTCCAAGCTCTCGTCAATACTCTTTCTTACTCTCTCAGCACTGAAATCAAAACCTTCTTTATATCTACCACACTTAGTAGCCACAATGTAGTCACTTCTAGGGACTTGCAAAGCCTTTAGTCCCTTACCAAGCATTTTCTCAGACAGTGTTCCTCCATAATACCTTCACACACAATAAATGCCCAAATAAATATATAAGAGAAACCTTCAAAAACATACATATCCATGGAGTTGAAAATTCCAAAAGAAATCTTAGACTTTAGCGAATAATTAGTCTCAACAATCACAGAATCAGCAATTAGTATTGAAAGAATCAGTAATCTTTAGAAAAGATAAAAGAAGAAGAAGTGATTACGGGGAGGTGTCGAAGAAGTTGATACCGAGACGGAAAGCCTCGCGCATGGTGGCGACGGCATCATCTTCGGCGACTGGACCGAAGACACTTCCGAGCGGAGAGGCACCGAAACCAACGGCGCTTACCTTAAGTCCAGTGTTACCCAAAGGTCGAAGCTCCATTTTCGTCATTGTGGAAAGGATTGATGAGAGACGCGAGAAGACAACACTTGTTTTTGGATCATGGTGTTCAACACGTCTAAATTACGAAAACACCCTTCTCTGTTCAATTTTAGATACTTTAACTAATTCCTTTTTAACCAAAACCAAATTTGCTCTATAGCTCACAGATTCAATAATATTTTAATTTAAGTAAATGTTAATTTGCTAAAGTTGTTAACAATAGATGAAAAAACAAAACAAACTAGAGGAGTTCGAGTTGTCGGGATATAATCAGGCATATATTAAAAATATTTATAGTAGACGGCGAGTTAAATATAATGTACTAATATGATGGAATGAGTTATGATATATCGAAACTTTATTCTAAAATATATGATATATAAATTTTTGTATGTTATATCATGGTCAAGATACATATGGTTTTATATGGTTTTAATTTATGTTAAACCGAAAACTCGTACAAACTGATTCGTAATCAAAATGAATTACATACGGTTTCTATTTGGTTTTAGTTTTTGTAAAAATCGAAAAACTGGAACTAAACTAAACTAAACCCAAACCAAAAAGTCAAACACCCACCCCTAGATAACAAGTAAAAATTTGTATTATGTATAAAACGATTAAAATTGTACTATAAAACAGACAATAATTCAACTTTAAATAAATATTTAAAAATTAAAATTTTATCCGTACTGCACAAGCATGGGTTATGATCTAGTACCATATATAATTATGCAATGATTTCAATTGGTAAATTCTAAGCAATGGTTTTGTTTGATACATTTTATGACTTTCATTCATTTTTGGGACTTTTGCAAAAATGTCACTTTTCAAAAATACCTCTTTTTAAAAACCTTATAAAAAATACTCTTAAAAATATAAGATTTACCCAAATATGTATGTAATATTATTAAAACATACACAACTACATTTCTATGTATCTAAAATCTTATAAATACTTTATAAATACCTTATAAATGCATTTTAAATACCTTTAAAAATCTTTAAAATATCTTGTAAAACCTTTGAAAAACCTTAAAAATCCTTTAAAATAACTTGTAAAACCTTTAAAAACACCTTATAAAACCTTATAAATACTTGGATCGAGTCTTCAAGTAGTAGTTACAATCTATAAGTACCTTATAAACCTAATAAAACTTTATAAAAATTTCAGATTTAAAAAGAAGCATTTTTGAAAATGGACATCTAAAAGGGGCATTTTTGAAAAGGGGGGTATTTTTAACAATTTCCCTTCATTTTTTTAACATCGATATTCGATAGGAAATATAATTTTATAGTATAAAATTCTAGGCTAATAAAATAGGTAATTTAAAATATATATATATATATATATATAAATGTAAGAAACTACTCATTCTGTTTCATATTAGTTGTAGTTTAAGGTTTTTACACACATATTAAGAAATCATAAAAATCTCATTTAATCTATCACTTTTATACTATAAAACATCATTAATTATAACCAATTCAACTAATTAAAAAATATATGATTAAATATAACTGGTTAAAAAGTATTAAATACATTTATTATTTGCATAGAAAATTGAAAACAACACTTATTTTGGAAAAAAAAAAATCTTTAAACTATATTTATCTATATATACATTTTTGAATGACTTTTAGCAAATAAATCCTGGAGTTGGACCTTATTTACGGATGAATGCCATTGGCATTAATTATTTAAATTTGAAAAATATTACTTAAAGATATTACCAATACGATTTCGAGAATCATAAATTCATATCTTCCTTAATTTTCTGAGTCATTAATGTGATAATCTTTAGGAAATATTTCTCTGTAAAAAAAAAAATCCACATTAATGAAGGCATTAAAATCGACACTAACAATTAAATTATTTAGATGTTCAATTATTTTAAGATTCTTGTATCTTATTTGATATTTTTTTTTTTAATATCTCATTCTTTAATTACTGCGTTTAGAATTTATTGGTTGTTACCTATTTTTTGGTGAAATTTATTGGTTGTTACTTAATAAGTAATTATGGTGCGTTTATTTTAGTTAATATCTAATTTAAAGGATTTGTTTTCTTTTATTATTAATAAATGAATAACATGTATAGAAATAAAAGATTTTTTTTTGCGACTCCATAATAAAAATATTAAACTCTTATTTTCTACATTTCTTACACATAATATCCTCTTATTCAATAACAAAAAATATATATTACATATTTTTAAAATATTTATAATATTTAAATTATATAAAAAATTTGTAATATTAATATTATTTCAACTCTATACAAATTTAATATATATGTATATATATCTTATGGGAACCATTTAAAAGAAATTTTTAAATTGACTTGAATTATATAGCTTTTAAATAAAAGTATTATTAAAAAGAAAAATAACTAAATAATGTTTAATTTCACGGGACGGGTAATATGATAGGACGGGTTTGGGTTGATATTTATAAAAGATCGTATACCACGGGTGAAATCCTAAAATTAACAATCAAAATAATCTATCAAACAAATTACATTTTGATTTTTTTAAGAAAATATAGCCCCGCGGTGTACCGCGGGTTAAAATCTAGTATATAAACAAAAGAAGTAATTAATTAAAATATCATGTAGAAAATGAGTCGGTTGTCACTTGTTTTGGATATTTTGTGCTCAACAAGCTGAAATTACGGGAATGCCCTTCTCAATCCAATTTGTTTTTTTGACGTCACTTTTTTATCGTTATTAAAATACTTGCCAACTGTTTGAAACATTGGTGTCTACAAATTCCAGAAAACAATGGAGACGACATTATTTTAACTCAAATCATGTCATAAAAGAGGGTGATGATGATGAGGAACGATTACAAAACAAGATTCTTCATTTGTAAAGCTGCTTGAATCTTCGACATGCCTCTAAGATGTTCTCTCTGTGACCAAAGGCACTGACACGGACGAACCCTTCACCACCTGGTCCAAACCCACTTCCTGGAGTTGTAACCACATGAGTCTTCTCCAGAATCTCAGCAAACACATCCCATGAGCTTTGGTTCGGGAAGTGAACCCATACGTAAGGCGCATTCTTTCCTCCATATACATCATACCCGAGAGATGTGAATGTGTCAATGATTATGTTTGTGTTTTCTTTATAGAATCCAATCACCTTGTGCATTGCCTGCAATGTTTAAAAAGACAACAAAAGAAATCATTTTGCATGTATGATGAACTAGTGGTAAACTGGTTAGGTTTTGAGATCTCTATTTAGCTAAGCTAACCTCAAGTCCTTCAGGTGAAAGGCAAGCAAGAGCACCAGCTTGTGAGAGATTAGATGCACCATTGAAACAAGTGCAGATAATCCGATTGAAGTCTTTGGCAACAGGGAAACCGTCTGAATAGAGTAGCTGTTTCGGGATGACAGTCCAACCAAGTCGAACTCCAGTGAAACCAGCATATTTGCTGAACGAAGCTGTCTCCATAGCGACCTGTAAGCAGTTGTGCCCATGAAGAAAGTTGTTGAAAAATGAACCTTTTAACGTTAATAATCAATCACACTCTTACCTCCTCTGCTCCAGGGATTTCGAAGATGGATCGTGGGTTATCATTAGACATGTACATTGCATAGGCGGAATCATACACTATTATAGAACCGTTCTTCTTTGCAAACTCAACTAACTGCTTTAGTTGCTCTCTCGTGGCAGCAGCACCCGTAGGGTTATTAGGGGAACAGAAGAAAATTATATCTGTCCTGCCAACAGTGGACAAGTCGGGAAAGAAGCCATTCTCTGGAGTGCATCTCATGTACTCGATGTTTCCATACTTTTGCACATCAGTGTTAAATTGCCCAGTCTGACCCATAATAACACTGGAGTCGACATAAGCCTGTATAATCCAAAAACCGAGACAGCATAGTTCCAAGTTAAAATGAAGCAAAAGCAGAGAAGACTACAACTGCAATTTGGTTTCTGTCTGGCCAATTACCGGATATGAAGGATCCTGAACAGCAATTGTAACATTGGAACCAAACATAACCTGCAAAAAGTGGAATCAAGAGAGAACTGTTCAGATTTCTTAATCTTGTATCAAGTACAGATGAATAGTCAGCAATAAAACAAACCTGGAGACGTGAGATATCACATTTAGCTCCATCAGAAACAAAAACGTCATCATCCCCTATGCCAAGGCCACTGTAGAATGTGTTCGCAATAGCAGCTCTCAGTGGCTATTCACATAAGTGAAATCAAGGTTAGTTTGGATAAAAACTTAACAGATTAAGTTTTAAGATTTTCCATATAAGAAACAGGTTTAAATCCATCTTCTCTTGAATTTAGCGGCAGTTCAAGACTGTCGATAATAAAACTAAAGTGACGTGCAAAGGCACATACTAAAGAAATGATAACAACGCATTAAGGTAGAAATGAAGCGTGCACTGACCTTTGCACCTTGTTCAGCACCATAACCACTATATCCCTCTATTGTTGACAACTCATGAGCTTTCTGTCCGAGTAAAAAAACATGATTAATCTCTGGAAATTACATGCCTGCATGAATAGTATAGTAAACAAAAAAACTATGCTACCAGAATAATTTTCATTGTTTGATTACAGCCAAAACAGAAAATATAGTATACATTATTGTCAAAATGAACCAAATTATACATGCTAGGAAAGTGTTAGTAAAATATGCTTGAGCCCAGAGAAGGGCAAAGAGCACATGAAGCCAAGTTAAGATAAGGAGGTACCTTTGCCATAGCAGAAGTGATCACTTCAGGAATTGGCTCGGTTGTGTCGCCTATTCCAAGACTTATAACTTGTGCATCTGGATATTTCAACAAGTGTGCAGACCTTCGTCTTGCAATCTGGGGATCCACACAACAAAAAGAGAGGAGCATCATATACAGAATCAATGAGGATATATTATCTTATTACACAGGTCATCCAATGGGTATGGCTTATCAATACTTATGCTTGATGGATTAAAAGTTATGAATGAATAAAGGCCACTCCTTTAGGTATTTCAAATCTTAAATAGTAGTACCAAGAGAGTAACAGGTAACAAACCTCCGGGAATAGGTATCCAGCCTGAAGTTTGGACATGTTTGAATTCCGTGACACCTTCGTCTTGTACTCTACATACATATTGTGAGAAAGAGATAAACAGCTAAAAAGACGATAAAAATCATTAAACAAACTCTTAACTATCTTCCTAATCATTACCAATCTTCTCTTGCGGCGTTGCAACGCATTTGCAAGTATTGACCCGTTTTGCCATAGGTAAGCAAGCATTTCGAGTTCTGAAGCCAAAAAGAAAAGCAAACCAATAATAAAAATGAATCAATGATCACAAGCAAATGCACTGTTCTCTGGCCAAACATCGACTTAAAAATCATTTTCTTCACTCTTCCAATTTAGCAAAACCAAAGGATTGAAATTCAAAAGATAAGCAACAAAACATATTTTTTAGAAATAGATTCCAATTCATATTCATCCACTCTAGATTTTATCAGCAGCAATCAGAGAGTAAAGAAAACCAAACGACGCACCTGAGATTGAAATTTGAAGGGCCTAGGAAAGTAGATGAGGAAGAAGAGATCATCGAAGAAACTAACTGATGGGTTGACGACATTTTTCCGCTTCGTACAATGATTTGTCAGAGAAAATCAAGAAACGTGTTTTGGGATTTAACAATGTGAGTGAGACTGATAAAACCTAGGGTTCTTCTTCGGTTTGGTCCGAGAGGAAATTAACCCGGTTTGTTCCGGTTCGGTTTACTAGAAAATATTGGTAATTTCCAATTCAGTTCAATTTATTTATTTCTGGACAATGATTTTGCTGTGCGCCTGCGAATCCGTGAAGCTGCTACTTTGATATCTGATTCAATTCGATTTCGTGGTAATCAATCTCTCCTTCGATCACAATTCTCGAGCAATTGGGTTCTCCAAAAATCCCTTTTTCGATTGTTGTGTTGTTCTTCTTCGTCTTCTTCGTTGATTTCGAGTCGAAAGAACGTAGCTTTAGTGGAAGTTTCTATGGTTGGGATTTGGGAGGCAATGATTTAGATAGCTCTATGATTCTCGAATGTATTTAGTTGTCGAATTAAGTTGATGCAAGCTTTATTAGATAATTCTATCGGTTCCTTCTTTTGATATTGATTTGATCACTTGACTTCGATTTGGAGATTTTGACGTCTTTATTTGTTTACATTGGAATAGATGGATCTGGAAACTGAAAATCGAATAGCTTCGATTCTTTTAAGAGAAGCAGCAGAATTGAGGAGACAAGCTGAGAAAGAAGGCGTCAGAGCATATCTTGAGAAGCCTAATGTAAGACATCGACCTAACTCTAGATTTCTCACGGCTACTGTGCTTGGTGTTCAGCAAGGTATAATCTTTTGTTGACAGACTTGGCTTCTATTCAACAATATCTAGTCTTTAGGCTTATATCTTAGTCCTTGCACCTTTTACTTTGTATTCTGATTCCAGTTGAGCATTATGATTCAAATTTGTTTAGTTCATCTCTTATTCGTTTCTTCTTTACGCTATTTCAGCAAACAAAGCTGTGGAAACCAATGAGATGTGGAGTCTTCGGAGTAAAGAGATTGAGTTTGATGAAAGGCTCAAAAGAAAATCAAGAGAAGAGAGCAGCAGTTGCCCAAGTGAGCAGAACAATAGGAGGGATTTTCTTAAGAGATGTACTTCAGTTGATGAGAATGTTACTACTACTAGTTTATCACCCTCATCAAGCCGGAGCAGAAACAAAAGATGGCAATCAGAAGATGATGATCAAGGCTTAGGAGATGTCGAGGTTAAGACTTTTCTCCAATCAAGGTATTTCCTTTATACTCAGACGCTGCCTGATGATTTCCTTTACATTAATGAAACGATTTGGGAATCGACTTTTGTTGATAAAACTTGTGATTCTGGTCTATGATAGGGTCAAGCGTGGCAGAGGCTCTGTTGGTGCTAGGATGGATGAACCATTACCCTGTCTTCCTGTGAAGGAACTGTCAAGAAATTCTGATACAGGAGATCGGAAGCTAGTGCTCCAGCCAGATCGATCACCTTTATTGAGACGTGGGACAGATTCTTCTTCTTCCGATGAGGAGGTTCACAAATGTGCTCATAGAAAGAGAAAGGAGCACAAGAAGAAACTTAGTAGTAAGAAACACAAGTCAAAAGAGAAGAAAAGGGATAGGAAGAAGAGAAAATATTGTAGGGACTAGATCTTCTTTTCCGGACAAAAAAAATTGCCTTTACACCGGCAGTGATGTTGTATCCATAAGATGATCATATTTCATTAATTCTAGTATTCTTAAAATGCTAATAATAATGCATAGTAAAAATGAGGTGCATAGTAGGTTAGAATCGGTATGGAGTCATCGTATATACGACAATTCTCAGTGCGGCCTAAGAGGGTTCGGATTTGGTAAAGATTTTTGAAGCAAGGAGAGAGTGAAATCTCTAAGAGACTACTGATATATAGAGAGAAAAACATCTTGAAACCATAGAAACGATGCTGTTCATGCCTATATTGATACACATTCGCCGGACAAGTGACAAAGTTTGAAAGTTGAAAACAAAGACTAAAGTTTTCGACATTCATAACCAGTTCAGTGGTCATGCACTGTGTTAGGAGTCTTCAAAATGGTGATCAGTTTCATCAAAGATCTCCTCCTGCAACCAAAAGGCAAACAATAATAAATAGTCCATGAAAAAAGAATCTTTGGTTTGATAAACTTATATAAGATTCCTTACCTGCAGAAGTTCTTCAATGACATCCTCCATTGTAATGATTCCGACTGCTTCTTCTTCCTCAGCAAGTTTAGGCAGCGGATCGCCATTCAATTGCAGGATGTCTCCATCATTGTCTTTTGACCACTTCTTGGTCTTTGACCCTCCTTTAAACGAATTTGCTCGATTCGGAAAACTCTTCCACTTTTGAAGCGATCTTTTTGTCCTTAACATTCTCTCCTGAGGAGTAGGAGTTCCCTCACTATCCATATCCACTCGGGCTTCCTTAACACTCCCTATTAGAAACCAAAGAAAAGATTCTCAAAACTTGTAACTCAGCAAGACAATGTTTTGTCGATTAATGAAACAGTTTACCATTTTTAGAAGGTAATGGGTAGATTTTGTCGCACTGTCTCACAACAACAGCCATGTGGCTGAGTCCTTTCTGGAATTCGTTCAATATGTCATATAAAGGCAAGATTTCTGGAACTCTAAAACAAAGCAAAAAATCAGCTTTTAAAGCACATTCAATGGGCTTAATTGCTTAGATTCGGAAATTTCACCTTGGAATCCTTCTTATTGTGACATTCTTGACAGGTATTTCTTCATCTGGGTTGATAGTCAATAAGTTCTTTACCTGAAGATAACAGATATGAATGGTTAGAAGTGGAAACAGACCACTAAAGAGGAAAATGACTTCACATAGAACCGAGTCAAATTGTGGAAGTAATGCATGAGACTGGGAGTTACCAGAACAAGGCCGATTATGTTAGTTGGCTGCTCATAGTATACTGGAACTCTGCTATGCCCTTTCTCAAGAATCAAGTTCATCAAGTCTCTATACCAAAGGAACAGAGAAATAAAATAAATAAAGATTAGCATGAGTGGAATAAAGACTCTAGGCAAGTGTGTTTCTGATCAGATAGGTCTAAAAGGAATCACAACACAACCTATCTAATTTGGCATTGATGTCAATAACAAAGATATCAGATATTGGTGTCATTGCATCTTTGACCATTTTCTCAGACAGTTCGAGAGCTCCTGCGATGATTGTCGTTTCATCATGAGTCAGCTCCCCACCTTTCCCAGCCTGAAAGAAACAAAATACTAAACAACATGACATAGATAGAAGGGATACTGAAACTTTTCAATCTTGAAGATGGGAGCAATGCATACCTCATTTCCATGAAAATCCACAAGTGTTTTCAGCTCAGCTCTTCGAAAAAGTGCAGCACGACGATGACCCAATAGAAAGTCCAGCAGCTGGATTATTCAAAAGAGCAAAAACATATTATAACAACGAGCATGATGGGTGGGGCAATGAGTCCTGGGGAGATCGGTATAGTGTTTTTACCTTGCTAATTGGCCATGCAACAGGTAAGCAGATAAAGACTAGGACACGGACAAACGGAGCCACTGTTGCACCAATCGCCAAACCATAGCGTGAACAAATTGACTGCGGTATAATCTGCAGTTGCAGTAAACCCAACCATCAATGTTACTATCCTGATTTACAGTCACATCTCAGATACAGGAAAGTGAGGGAAAATGTTCAGAGACTGTTTTCCTTATTGAATATTGCAGGAAAGGCTAATCTTACCTCACCAAAGAGAAGAATCAATGTAACTGAAATCAAAATGGCACCCCATGCCGTGACAAGGCCATCAAGAAAAATAGGGAGCGTCTGAGAAGATAAATCATTACTAACATCAAACAACATTCCCAAAACCTATAATCACAGAGGCTAATGTTAAGTTTTATAATTACCTCCATAGCAGCTGCGTTGCATATAAGTAAAGTGACAAGCAACAGATGCTGATTCTTCACCACTGGCAATATCTTTGCTGCAGAAAACAAAAACAACTCTGATCATCATTAACAAAGAGAGTCTAAAAAGACATGAATTAGACCAAAGCAGGCTGCTCACAACAACTGAATCATCGATGACATAACAGCTATTATGTCATCAAATTTGGAGGTTCTGGCTTAGAGAAGCAAAAACTGATAAAAGGGTAATCTAGTCTTGATTAGTAAAGTTAGAATAAGACCAAACTCTTCACCAGTATAAACTCACACGCAGCAATCGAATATTACAGAAACCAAACTCGACCTAATTTGAACAAAAGATCTAGAAAGTTAATCAAAACGGCGAATAGATGAACTAACTGAAAACCAAATTCGAATATGAACATCACAAAACAAAAGACCCTCGCAACATCTAACCAGACACGTGTAGGCCAATCAAAAACTGTCAATTTAGTGAAATAACAAAACTTTACTAAGCAAAATTGTCAAATGGTGAAATAACAAAACTTTAATAGGTGTAAGAGAATCGAATCAGCGAAAAAAGAGGGAACACAAAGATTTTACCAGCATATTTACGATGTTCGGGTGTACCCGATTTAGCGAGAACTTCAAGATCAACGAGACTCAGAGACATAAGACCCAATGTTAAGCCAGACATGAGTCCAGCGAACAAGACAAGAAACACAATCACAGCTATATGTATAAAGAAGTTTGGGCTGCAACATACATACTCCACCGCCATTCAAAATCGCCTCTTTAGGATAAAATCACAATCCCCAAAAGCTCAAGAAATCAGAAAACACACTAAACCCTAGCTCACTCGCAGACTTGACATCTTCTCCTTCTCCAAAAGTTGAAAACTTTCTTCAAAGTCAGGAAATGAACAGTCTCCGACTCAATTAGTAACGGCAAAGATCGGAAAATCAAGCACAAAGAGACTTTAAAAGTGAAGCCCAGAAAATATCTGATTATGGAGGTGATAAAACAAACAACAGAGGCTCGTGCGGTGGAGATCCACTGGTGGATATATAGGTCCTGGCAATTAGATATATAATGACAATAATACCCATGTAGTGAGAGCGACGTACGTGAGATGACAAAAGGTGTTTTCGTAATTTTCAAGGGTCGTGTCCTTTTATAATCTGGCTCTGCAACTAGCTGGGTTTTCCCGCTATGACGAGGATTTTGATCCGATCGCCACAACACTTTTTTTATGAAAAACAATTTGTAGATTTTTCTTAAATTTGACTAGATAAATTACCTTTTTCTTTTTGGAATGAATGGCTGATGTAGTTTTCAAATGCTTATTATTATCAAAAAGTTACATTACCAAATTTCTTTTTCCATATATTATGAAGAAGAGAAAGCTTTCATTATGAGCTACTCCCTCTGTTCCTAATAGTTTGATGTTTTGGAATTTTTTCTTGTTCCACAAAGTTTGATGTTTTGTAATAATATCATTATTACTTTTAATCTTAATCAATAGGAAGAGGAGAGAAGTAAAACAAAAATTATTAAACAAACAAACAAATAATTAAATAATACAAAATTTAGCTTTTTGTAAAACCCAAAACATCAAACTTACGGGAACAGGGAGTACTTGTTAGGTCGGCAAAATCCTTTTTAACTTATTGAGTAAAAGCATACTCGAGTACGTATACAATATTTCATTGGATTGAATGATATAATTACGTGGATTCCGATAGAAACGCATTTTTCTATGCCCAATAAAGAAGTCCAATGGAAAGCCCATAGAAGTCCATGTATAATTATGTCTCTTAGGTTATCGAGCAAGATCCTCTTCATCCGCTCACTTTTACCTCTACGAGATCGCCGTTGAAATTCAGTGTACCGATGTTTCACAATTGTCAGTATAATTAAGGAGTGCCCCCACATCCTCTGTAGCCGCCTTTGTGATTCGACAGATGCGCAACTGACTAGAATCATTGCTGAGATAGTTAAACTGTTGAAGGATACCTCCGATTCCGGTGTTAGAGATGCTTCTCGGGATATGATTAGCGTTTTGTCAAGGATTTCTTGCAAGGGAAACAATACTGGTGCAGCCTCGTCTTTGGTGGGTGTAAACGGTAACGAGCCATCCAGAGGCAGTTGTTGCCGCTACAAAGACAACAGACTTATCTTAATTATGAACAAACTCCAAGAGTTTTTTGGTAGCTCACATGACCGTATGGGTGACTTTAGAGGGCAAGGTAAGGGGTTTAGAGAGCCGGATTGTCGAAGACATGGGAAGAGATCTTTCGACTTCTGGATTTGGCAAATATATATAAGAGCTTTGCTAACTACCCTCCTACTGGAAAGTATAATGGCCGAGCTCCAGGAGACAGAGACTCACAACCTGATGTAGCTGTGAGGGAGACGATGTTGAATTCTGACATACCTTCACATGTTGCTTCCAGAAACGGACAAGGTGCGGTCAGAACAACATGAGAATGATGGTGCAGTCACTTTCAGTCTTACGTCAAATCGAATCAGTAGATTTTGACTTTTTGAGAAATGTAGATACACTAAGCTCTGACCATTTTAATTATTTACAGATAGACTAGAACGTCGTAGTTGTTGGGTCTACTGGTTAATGGTTAAGAAATTAACTCAGCCATTTTGAATTGCTTTTCTCCAATGATACGTGTACTCTCAAATTCATCAGGGTAGCTACCAAAAAATAAAAGCAGAACATCAATCAGAATATGCAAGAAGATAGAATTGGACACATAGAAAGAGCCATGGGAGATGAATAAAAACAAAGGGCAGAAACTCGTCGATGTACGAACCTCATATAGCAAGGCAA